CCTCCCGCCATGAGCGGGAAGTTTTATGAAAGTGGCGCGCGTGCCTGCCACAGTCTATGCACCCCCACCCATAAGCACTGCCCATACAGTGTTAAACATTTCCCCATCTCACTCTGTGAGCATTACGGCGAGCGTGCCTGTAATCTCACACGCACCCCTGCACTCGGCATTCAACAAAGCTGCTCAGCGCCCGCCCGCGCCGCTGAGAGCTGTAAGCTCGGTATTAGCACAGAGCGATTCGCTGGCGGGAGCCATACGTCACTGCGACACGCCCCCAGCCAGCATTCAGCCCATATCTGTGCGAGCGAAAGCTTGGGAAAATATCCCCGACATGCCGAAATGGGTTTTGAACATAATAAAACACGGTTACTCGCTTCAATTCGCTCGCAGACCGCCCCGCTTCACAGCAGTGGTCGAGACGAAAGTGAGAAAAGATGTTTCACATGTTCTACGCACCGAGATGCTCAAACTGTTAAAGAAAGGCGATATAGAGACAGTCCCTCCCTCTATGAGCGAGGCAGGTTTTTACAGCCGCTATTTTCTCGTCCCGAAAAAGGATGACGGTCTCCGCCCCATTCTAGATCTCAGACATCTGAACAAAGCTTTAATGATTCGCTCGTTCAGAATGTTAACAACCAAACATATCCTCGCGCAAGTTCGCCCAGGGGATTGGTTTCTATCAGTGGATCTGAAAGACGCTTACTTTCACATTCCGATAGCGCCTCATCACAGGCCTTTTCTGAGATTCGCTTTCGAGGGACAGTCATACCAGTACACAGTACTACCATTCGGCCTGTCACTGGCACCCCGTACATTTACGAAATGTATGGATGCAGCACTTTCCCCCCTGAGGCAGCGGGGAGTGCGAATACTGAATTATCTCGACGATTGGCTAATCCTAGCACAATCAGAGAGCCAGTTAGTGACACACAGATCTTGGATTATCAGTCATCTAGATTGCCTGGGTCTAAGAATCAATTTTGCAAAGAGCATGCTATCCCCCAGCCAGAATATTTCTTTTCTGGGAATAGTGCTAGACTCAGTGCAGATGACGGCGCGCCTCTCGTCAGAGCGCGCGCTCACTATCCGGCGCCTTGCAACATCGTTCAGAGCGGGTGCGCGCGCCCCCGTCAAGCGATTTCAAAAGATGCTCGGTCTCATGGCCTCAGCATCAGCTGTACTCCAGCTAGGATTGTTGCACATGCGTCCTCTCCAACGCTGGCTCAAAAGCCGTGTCCCCACTCACGCGTGGCGCTCGGGCCACTTTTTAATCAGAGCAAATCACGGCTGCATAAAAGCCCTGACGCCCTGGAAAGCTGTCGACTGGTATCAGTCCGGCGTGAGTTTGGGTGTGAACACAAGGAGAAAAATGATCACGACAGATGCCTCCAAAATAGGCTGGGGGGCCCTTTACGAGGGTAGGCCTGTCTCCGGCTTGTGGTCAAACCCGGAGAAGCGCCTACATATAAACTGTCTGGAATTGAAAGCGGTCGCTTTGGCTCTCAGAGCCCTGCTCCCGTACCTGAAGGACGAGAACGTCCTAGTCCGAACGGACAACATGACGGTAGTTTTGCATATAAATCGTCAGGGTGGACTCAGATCGAGCTCCCTGCACTCGATGGCCAGGGAGCTCCTCCTATGGTCCCAGCGCAACCTGCGCTCGCTGAGAGCAGCGCATGTGCCAGGTGTTCTGAACCAGGGAGCGGACATGCTGGTAGGGAAATACTACCTAGTTGTTCGTTTCCTGAGGGGCGCCAGGAGGATAAATCCCCCACGCCCCCCCTCGGTGCCGATTTGGGACCTGGCCACGATCCTGGACGCACTTAAGCGTGCCCCGTTCGAACCCCTCCGAACTGTGCACCTTAAACAGCTCTCGCTCAAAACTGCTCTCTTGCTGGCTCTCGCCTCGGTCAAGAGAGTGGGCGACCTGCACGCGCTGTCATCAAGCGCTACCTGCCTGGAGTTTGGACCTAACGACAGCAGGGTTGTCCTCAGGCCAAAACAAGGGTATATTCCTAAGGTGCTCTCTACTCCTTTCAGAGCACAGGTGATATCTTTGGCCGCGCTATCGTCTCCAGCAGACGAAAGCGACGCTAATTTACTCTGCCCGGTCAGGGCACTCAGAGTATATTTGGAACGTTCTGCCCTGTTCAGACAGACAGAGCAATTGTTCGTATGCTTTGGCGGCCGCACTAAAGGTCTGGCTGTTTCAAAGCAAAGAATATCGCGCTGGATAGTTGATGCTATAGCGCTGGCTTATGAAGCCAAGGGCCTTCAGTGCCCCTTGGGCATCAGAGCTCACTCTACGAGAGGCATGGCCTCCTCGTGGGCGTGGTCGAGTGGGATACCCATTCAGGATATTTGTGCGGCAGCAGGCTGGGCCTCACCGTCCACATTTATCAGGTTTTATAACCTACAGGTCCCCTCATTGCACTCTAACACAGGGATTCCCAAAGTGTGGTGCGCGCACCCCCAGGGGTACGCGAGCTGTCACCAGGGGGTGTGCGAGAGGAAAAATGCAATGGCGGTCTGTTTTTTTAAATGGGATTTTTTTCCATACAATAAAAAAAAAACATGAACTGTAAACATTTCCTTTGTAATCGCTTATATTTTAAATAAAAAAACTATTATTAATTAGTTTTTAATAGAAACGTATAAGACAGCTGCTGTCTTTTAAACACTGTTCTGCAGACGTTATCAACTTCTAAATTCAAATGTGCTTTCGCGCGTTAGCCAGTGCTGTCATAGCCTATATCACAACTATTGAGTGTTTTCAACCACATAATGTTTATTTTAAGTTTCACACATTTAAATACACATAAGTACTAGCAAAACAATGATTTTGATTTTGCTGATATCTATGGATAAGGCAATAATAATCCTTTTCATTATAAGATGACACGTTTTATTCATTGTGAGAACGTAGCTTCAGATTTTACCCTATTCTTCTCCCAGTTCACCAGCCTCTTACTGTACGTTCATGTTTTTCGTGAGAAGGGAAGAAACTGACGTGTTGTAAATCCAACAGATCCGATTCTTCTCTGAACTGTGGCACAAACTAACATGATGCCGCCCATCGCGCATACAGCTCAACTAACGCAATCGTTATGAAGGCGTTTAAACAACACAACGCGTCCACTTCCACATATTTGACAATCGGAATATCAGTGTTTCATGTATAGCTAATACATTTGTGAATATTTTTGATAAAAAAGGAAAAATGACACAAAAGCAGATCCTCATTCATTCAGCGCTGTGTTGTGTTTGCGCTGTGTCCCGTGACAAGCAATGACGCGTCACCATGGAAACATTAAAGTGACAAATTCTAAATAACGGTCGCATTGGTGTGAAAGGAATAAAAGTGGAAGCTTGTGCGTAGCTTTGTTGCATTATATTGAAACTTTGTTAATGTTGTTATTGTCATGTGTGTTCTGGTTATTTGAGCATGATAAAACATGAGTCTTTATATGGCAATAAAACAAAGCTTTGTTGCGTTTAAAAAAAAAATATATATATTTAAGTGGGGATTGGGGGTGCGCCAACCCGGTTGGGACATAGAAGGGGGTGCGCAAGGAGAAAAGTTTGGGAACCGCTGCTCTAACATACTGTCGGTCTAACTATGCATAGGCTGGGGTGTGTACATGCTGAGCATTGTCTCCTCCCTCATAGAATCCGTCTTTGACTGATGTAGAGGATTTTTCATACATGACAGTATGACAGTACTCTGGACGCCCATCGGGCAGACAGTACTCTGGACGCCCACGTTGTCCTTTTATAAAGCCCGCCTTCGGCTGGCTCGTTGGATAATTACTTTGCTCGAAGACTCAGGCATCTGCCTCCGGCTTAATAGAGCGAAGTCAGCACGCACGGCGTTTTACATGGCGTTCCCATAGCGTAAGCTATTACGCAATAGGAGGAACCTCTCGAAAGGGAACGACTCGGTTAAAACGTAACCTCGGTTCCCTGAGAGGAGGGATCGAGTATTGCGTAATCTGCCGTGCTTGTGCTTGGTCAGTTTGCTTCAGTCGATTGAACCTAAAAGAACTCAGACGACGGGGCGCCCAATATATAGCCTTTGGCCACGCCCATCTAGGCGGGCTCTGACGCGCGAGGGCGCGAAGCACGCTCATTGGAAGCGGGTTCAGAGTCGACCCGTCATAGGTTCGTGCAGTTGCCGCAGCACAGCCAATGACCGAGCTGCCTCGCTCATTGCTGTATGCTGTGCAGCTGCAATGCGTTTTACATAAAGACTTCAATATTTCTCGAGAAAAGGAGTTTTCCCATTGCGTAAGCTATTACGCAATACTCGTTCCCTCCTCTCAGGGAACCGAGGTTACGTTAGTAACCGAGTCGTTATCTTTATATTGAGGATGCACTCTGATTTAATAGATATTTAACAGACTTAGAGTAAACACAGTAAATATTATGATTCATGAAGGGAGGGTAAAGTTATTTTCTCACAGCAGCAAAAATCTGGGCCAAAAGTCCAAAAGCACTCATGATTTAGTGTTTCCTAAAATTATTTGTTTAACAAAAAGTTCTCTCTTTATAGACCATGTAATGGCCACCCTTTTAACTATTAAAGTAATAGTTCAATAGTCATTACTCATTCCTATGCCATTCAATCCTGTACGACTTTCTTTCTTTTGTGGAACAGTCAGTGAGTGTAAATGGAGCTTTTTTTCATACAATGAAAATGGGTGGTGACCACAATTTAAAGTGCCATAAAAAGTCATTAGCTTCAAGTCCAACTAATATAAATAAATATATAATACATTTTAATTTTATGATAAATAACGCGCATTTAAGTGTCTGAAAACATTACATTCAGTTCGCACTGAAGTATATTCCTTTTAAAGTAATTATTTTCATAATACATACTCATTTTAAAAGTATGCAAGTGTCTTTTTAAGAAGGGTCCCTATAATGCACAGTCTGTCATAATACCTTGTATTAAACATCCCACGTTCAAAACTTCAACGAACACATGATGCACTTACCCACACAGCTGAAGTTTCCAGCAGCCCAGGCTCGTCTACCCCAGCATAGTGTTTCCTCAGCAGGGCCTGAAGCTCTGGCAGGGCCCATACTCACCATCCAGAACCACAAGAGAAAGGCGGCCGCTGTCGTCCTCCAGAACATAATCCTATCTGTTTCCACAGGGCTCTCCTCTTAGGTATTTCGATCACTGAGCAACACCATGGAGCCGTAACCCCCACACATCTTACACACACAGCCAACCAGCTTCAACTAAATGACAACTTGGGTGAAACGACTCCAGAAAGTGCATCTATATCCCAGAGGTGTCTTTTTTACACAGAGCTGGTTGAAAGTGAGAGTCCTGTAGGAGGGCCAGGTTTGTGTCAGGCACACACACAGAGCCTCAATCTCTCCAGTCCTCCGGTTCTCTAGCTGTTTTGGAAGCAAAGTATGAAATTCCTGACAGTCGCATGGTGAATTTGACACATGGTGAGACCAGCAAGGGCTCAGAAGAGGGTTTCCCCTGATGTAAGACTCTGGGCCTGAACTCAAGCAACACAAAAACTGCACTTCTACAACTTAAAAGTATAAATAAATATATAATACATTTATATATTATATTATATTATATGAGTTCACCTCCTGGCCTCTCAGTCCAAGCATGTGATTAGAAAGTGGACACACCTTTTATGCTGCTCATGAGTAATGGGATGCTCCCTCACACACACACACACACACACACACACACACACACACAAGCCACTGTGTCGTTGTGTCTGCATAGTCTGTCAGGACCCCAGAGTGAAGAATCATGGGGCGGGGCTTGTAAATGCCGCTACACGCAATCTTATTATACGAATAACTGTCATATTGTCATAGGAATTAGATGCACTGCTCTGGGAAAAATGCGTCAGGTAGGCAGGGACAACAGCTGCTCTGTTGTTCTCCTGAAGCAGGACAGGAAATGCAGCACAATGTCGCTCTGATACACACTCACAGGACGACAAGCCGGGGAGAATTCACGAACTAATTGAACTGACATTTAAACTTGATAGATAGACTAGTACTGAAAAAAGATAATCACTGTTTTCTATTTGAATACATATTAAAATGTAATATATTCCTGTGATGGCAAAGTTGAATTTTCATCATCATTAGTCTTCAGTGTCACATGATTCTTCAGAAATCATTAAAATAATGCTGATTTGCTGCTCAAGGACATCTTATTATCATCATTGTTGAAAACTGCTTAACAGTGATACCTTTTCAGGATTTTTTGATTAATAGAATTTGAAATACCTTTTTTGTAACAATGTAAATGCATTTAATGTCATTTTTGATCAATTTAATGCATCCTTGCCGAAAAAGGAATTATTATTAATATTATTTTTACTGGTATTACATTTCTTTAATGGTAGTGCACATGACAAGTAGCATATAACCTACTAAATTGTGCATATAATCAAGAAATTACAAACAAATGGATAAATAAATTATTTACACAGAAATTCGTCAATATGGGAGTTAGACCTCCAATTCAAAATAAAATCACACATAAAACACTATGAGGGGGCAATGAATAATTGATGTTATACTGTATGTAAACATGCACTAAATGATCTTTGATAATTTTTCTGTTTGCATCATTGTATCGTCTTGCTGGTTTTTCAGCTTCTTGCCTCACAAACTTACAGTATTCAACGTGACCATCTTGAAAACGAAACTCAGCGTCACATTGAAAACAGTTACACTTTCCATATCAGGTCTCAGGACTATGCAGTATTCAGGTCTCATGCTGTGCTGTATGCTTTGTGAATGGCCCCTGACACTAAATTTCATGCTAATGGAACAAAGCGTATATTTTAATGACAAGCATGGCATACAACACACAAAAACATATGCTGTGCACACAAACAGTGCACATAAATATCCTACTAAAAAAGTAAAGATAGAGAGGAAGAAACATAGAAAGAAACAAAAAATTAAGAGGACAGAAACATTAAACGCACCTGTTGCATTTAGAGGAATGCATACTATAGCCTAATCATTTAAACACACACATCGGCTCGACATAATATATGATCCTAGTAACAAAGATACTTGCCATTTTAAATGTAAAACTGACAGAAAGAGAGGCTGGTAACCCTCATTTGTTTCCAGTGAGCAAAAATCAATAACAAAAAAAACATAGGCAGTAAAAATGTTTAATAACATTTATCATGAATCTATTTAACACTATTTCATCATTCGTTGGCATATACAATATACACAACATTTACATGTATGTACACTGCATTTCATAAAAAGAAATACATAATTGTGTGTGATTGGGTGAAGAATATGGCTTTTAAAAATGGGAAATGAGACAGAAAACACAACGTGGAGTCAAAATAACTCTAGTAAGGCATTGAGTTTGACAGCATATCAAGAGCTTATCTTTTAAAACCGATGATCCCACAGCTTGTGTGTGGAAAGGATAACACACAAAGCCGATATGCCATTTATTAGCACAGGTACTCGGATCTAGAGCTGTCACTCTTGTACGTCATCTGAGAGTCAATGCTTGAACGTGAGCACAGGAGCATCCTCTCTGAATCCTGAGTCTGCCTTCGTGCCCACAAATCATTCGCCTGCCCGTTCAGAGTCCTTTGTTTCATGGTGAGCGTCTCGAACTTAACGTACGTCTCTTTTGAAAGGTCTTCATCTGGTCCACTGTTCCTGCTACTGTTTCCTTTACAGTACAGACACAAGATCTTGTAGAGCAACACCAAAATGAGAGGCACCGCAACTGCGCATGCGATCCCGCTGGCGATCATCAGGACTTTGTTCTGCCCATCGTCATCACCGTTATCCAGAGTACTGAAATCCACACATTGCTCTTTCCCAGACACCGAACCCTTAGTAACCAAACACACCGTGTAGAGCAGGTTAGGCATCAGATACTCCAAGAGCAGCTTCCCTTGACCAACTTCCGTATCGACCGACTCCTTATCCTCTTTCGCATCATATGGAAAGTAGACCACTGTTAGGGGCGCATTGCTTGGAAAACCTTCAGCGGTCCATAATAAGACCGCCGTGTCACTTGTCTCCTCCACTACCTCAATGTCTTTGATGTCAGCTTTCTTTTTGAACTTGTCACTCATCATTAAACCTTTGTCGCCTTTGCTTTGCTGGACCATAGCTGGTTTGTCTCCAGCAGGCGGGGACCTCTGAACTCCTTCGCCTGGTCTCAGACTCTTCCTGGTTGGCAGCGGTGGCATTGTGGTCATGGCAGCTCTGGTTGTAAGTGTGGGACTTAAGGAAGTATACAATGGCGTCCTAGTCCCTACAAAATAAGTCACGGGTTGACCATCGGGCAGCTTGGTTATGCTTATCGGTGGGGACTGCGTTGTGGCCTGCATCCCATCCACAGACAGGGTGATGGATGCCTCGGCCTTCCCTGCGACATTCTTGGCCTTGCAGAGGTAATCGCCTGCATCCTTAAACACGATACTGTGCAAACTGAGGATGGACCAATGAACCCCCTCACCTGGAGATTGCTGCACAACTACAAAGACATGAAACGGTGAGTAACAACCTGAACAATAGGTTCATAAGAAAAAGGTGAAAGGATGCTTTATATATTTAGCTATAACTAAGTAGGTTTACATTTGGGATGAACCGATATTAATATTCTGCCTAAGTTATGTCAAATACAGAGATGTAGATCTGAAGAAATACATACTCTACCATTGCGTCGGTAAGCTTTTTTAATGCTTTTGAAAGAAATATCCAATGCTCATCAAGGCTGCATTTATTTGCATTATTAGGGATGAACCGATATTATAATTCTGCCAGAAATAGTTCTTATGTTATGGCCTACAACTGATAAATATTGATACAGAATGAATTCATGTATACAGTGCTGGTCAGAATTATTTGCCCCCTTGGTAAATATGATCCAAGATGGCTGTAAAAAATAAATCTGCATTGATAATCCTTTTATATATAAATAGCAAAAATCTGACCTTTCATTGAAGTAAAAGAATTGAAAGTGGGGGGAAAATCACATTATGAAATAAATATTTTTCTCCAAAACACATTAGGAACAATTATTTGCCCCCTTTTATTAAATACTTTTTGCATCCTCCTTTTTCCAAGATTATGGCCAGCAGCCATATCACCCTGCAGCCCAAGACTGGTTGCCCACTGAAGCTAAGCAGGGTTGAGCCTGGATAGTACCTGGATGGGAGACCTTCTGAGAAAACCAGGTTGCTGCTGGAAGAGGTGTTAGTGAGACCAGCAGGGGGCGCTCACCCTGTGGTCTGTGTGGGTCCTAACGCCCCAGTAGTAATGGGGACACTATACTGTCAAAGAGCACCGTCCTTCGGATGAGACATTAAACCGAGGTCCTGACTCTCTGTGGTCACAAAAAATCCCAGGATGTCTTTCGAAAGAGTAGGGGTGTAACCCCGGCATCCTGGCCCAATTTGCCCACTGGCCTCTGTCCATCATGGCCTCCTAATCATCCCCATATATATATATATACCAATTGGCTTCATCACTCTGTCCCCTCTCCACCAGTAAGCTGGTGTGTGGTGGGCGTTCTGGCGCAATATGGCTGCCGTCGCATCATCCAGGTGGATGCTGCACATTGGTGGTGGTTGAGGAGATTCCCCCTTCCATGTAAAGCGCTTTGAGTGCCGAGAAAAGCGCTATATATATGTAATGAATTATTATTATTATTATTATTATAACAGCTCTGAGTTTTCTCCTATAACACCTGACAAGAGATCAGAGACCATTCCTCCATACAGAATCTCTCCAGATCCTTCAGATTCCCACATCCATGCTGGCGCTTCTTCTCTTCAGTTCAGCAAACTCATTTTCTATAGGGTTCAGGTCAGGGACTGGGATGGCCATTGCAGATGCTTGGACAGATGAAACAAAACAAAAAAGAGCTTTTTGGCAGCAAACACTTCAGATGGGTTTGGTGCACACAGGGATAAAAAAGTACCCCATGTGTAAAATGAAATACTCTGCTGTATCTTTAATGCTGTGGGCCTAATTTTCTGCCAGAGGTCCTGGACATCTTGTTCAGATTCATGGCATCATGGATTCGATCAAATACCAACAGATAAAAAATCACAACCTGACAACCTCTGCTAGAAATCTTATAATGGGCCGTGTTTGGATCTTCCAATATAGGCCGTGAGACAGAGGGTTGATTGGTACCATTTTGAGGGATTAAACCGCATGGTGATTTTTGTGTAGGTATATGACCCTGTATTTGAAAAATGTGTGATAGCATTAGATTCAAGGTAGTTTTTGGTTACAGAGGACGATTTTCAAACATATGTCAAGAAAAAGGATAAATGAATTTATCTTTAAATAAATTTTACATTTTATAAACATTTTATAATTTTTTATAAAATTTTATAATTTTTTATAATAAAAAAATTATAATTTTTTTAAAATAATTTTTTTAAATTATAAAAGGATACATTTTTCTCTCTTGTAGTCACTGAACACCTTACCTTGAGGTAGGATGATATAAGTGTTGATTTCTAATGAAAGCTACCATGGATCGGATGCTATCACACATTTTTCAACACTAGAGATGTGTACCTTCATGAAAATCAAAAAGAATGGTCACAATGGTACCGGTAGCCCACAAAATGGTACCGGTAGCCCAAATTTGGGGTCCCGTCTCATGGCCTAATAGGACAGTGATCCAAAAACAAACATCAAAACAAAAATGGGTCACTGAGCACAAAACCAAGCATCTGCAATGGCCATCCCAGTCCCTGACCTGAACCCAATAGAAAATGAGTTTGCTGAACTGAAGAGAAGAAGCGCCAACATGGATCTGGGAATCTGAAGGATCTGGAGAGATTCTGTATGGAGGAATGGTCTCTGATCTCTTGTCAGGTGTTCTCCAAACTCATCAGGCATTATAGGAGAAAACTCAGAGCTGTTATCTTGGAAAAAAGGAGGTTGCAAAAAGTATTTAATAAAAGGGGGCAAATAATTGTTCCCAATGTGTTTTGGAGAAACACATTTATTTCATAATGTGATTCCCTCCCCCCCCACCCCACCTTCAATTCTTTCACTCCAATAAAAGGTTAGATATTTGCATTTTTTTAATGTTTATATAATTTATATAATATTTATATTATATCCAGTATTTATAATAGGGATGCACCAATATATAAAATTTTGGCCGATATGCCGGTAATTATTTTGATCTTGGCCAGTCATTAAAATTGGCTAATATTAAAATTCTATAATATTTAGTCTAAATCTGTAATAATAATAAAAACACTAATCTCAAATCAATCATTTTAAATGATACTATATAGGCATCACAAAAGTATAATCTACAGTATTAAAACTGTACGTTCGTTTTGAGATTTGCTAAAGATTATATTTAACAGTGTTATTCAATTATTAGGTTTTTTAAAGATAAACTTTAAGTGGGCGTTAGATGACGGCAAAAAATTTATGTAAACACATTAACACACTAGTCCGACTTTGTCCAGCATGTATACAATTGGTCTACAATTGGCACACACACAAAGACAGACGTGAAAGTGTATTTAATAATCCCTCAAATATTTCAGTTACGTTTGATGTCATTTTTACTTGGACAGTGAGACCTCATACCTGTGTTGTTGAATGCAGATCCATCAGCTCTAGTCCAGAGAAGGGTGGGGGTAGGGAAACCATTGGCGTCACACCGCAGAATCACATTGCTGCCTAGTGATGCCGTGATCTTAGTGGCTGAAATCATAACTGATGGCTTGAGGCACTGATCCAGTTCAGCCCGCTGGAACAGGACACCAGCTAAGTTCTCTGGTCCACTGCATGTTAGAAACTGATCCATCAACGCCACAGGTATGCTGCTCATCTTAGACAACTCAATGAGCTTGGAAATTCGACAGTCACAGTACCAGGGATTGTCCTGCAGACCTGCAAATATTGAAATATCTGCTTAGAATATGCAATATGTTAAATACAGGAATGTAAATCTCCTTTCAGTTTAGGGGACAGGAAAAGCAATGTATTAAATATGATCTGTCCGTCCGTCCGTCCATCCATCCAACTATCTATCTATCGTCATGTTTGATTCCCATGTGAATGCATGAGCTGATAAAATGTATACCTTCAATGTAATGTCAGTCACTTTAGATAAAATCATAATGCATAAATGTAAATGCACTTATTGAAGATCTCAACATACTGAAATAAAGACCACAGGTTTACTTATTCAACTACCAAACAAACACAGCAGTTTAATGCCATCAAATAAGAAAGGTGTAAATCTTGCTGTAAATTCTAAAGCCAGGATGTCTTGTCTGGCTCGCACGCATACATCAGGTGTTGGACATTAAAACCACAGTCCACCCATAATTCTGTCTATGGCAGGATGAAGAACAGTTGACTGTAAACAAGGAATTAGACGGTCCACTGATGCAACTCAACAGCTGGATGGTGGCAACTGCTAATATCCTGATGATACAGGGTAATGCCCGGTCACATTATGCATTTGTGCTTATCTCTACACTTGAATGGCACCTGGTGAAAGTAAAGAATATGCAGTTGCAGTTTCACACGAGCAAAAATGCTGTGTATTAAAAAACACAGTCACTCTGATATGCAGACACACTGACATGATTGCGACTATGATTTTGCTTTTAAACAATTCAATAAATAAAAAAAATGATAAGTAACTTCAAATTTAAAACACAATGCTGCCAATTATATCACCAAAGAAAATGATATCTCCAAGCAAAACACTATAACGGCATTCTTGAACAAACAAGTTGATTGGATGATTCAATGACTCACTCATTAATGAGGGATTCTGAATTCGGAACAGCATACTGGCATATTACAGTTTCTATTACAGTTTCAGTCATATAAAGATATTGCAGAAATACTAAGAGTTGTAGGCTATACTGGTGTGCTGTTCCGAATTCACTTGTTTCAATATTGCAAGAATTGATTTATTAACTCACTTATAAGGATAGTCACTCCCTGAATGTTGCAGCGTTTTTGAACGAATTGGTTGAATAAATAATTGATGGCTCGGTTGAATAAACACTCTCTGGTCGTCACATTTTGGCGTAACCTGTTTCCTAATGTAATGTTAAGTATTTTTCTAATTTAATGTAAACTACGGGGGGCTGGGGGGGGGGGGGGGGGGGGGGGGCGGGGTGAACACTGAAATATCCTCTCCTTCAAGATGGCTGAAATTTTTTGATTGATCTGTGTAGATCGGCCAACCTTGATTAGTTTGTTGGAGCCTCAATAGCTAAATGAAAACTTTGAAAAAACTTCCATCATCATATCATATCATCAACAACCAACTACAGCAACTGGTAAAGTATTCTATACTTTAACCAAGTGCCATATAAGAGTACTCTCACTTCTTTTTTTTTATCCAGTAGGTCAAGGACACATGAATCTATCAAATTATTAACTTTCTCTTCGGCAATCTAAATGTCACTAAGCAAACACATGAATCATCCTCTTCTCAGATGAGCTCTTCAAAGAAACTTAAATCGCAGATCCTCAGACGCAGTTGGAAGCGCCATTAAAAGATTAGCTTGTACTTAACTTGGGAGAGCCCAATGAGACAGGCTAGATTTAGATATTTAAAGATCACACTTGGGCTTACAAAGACATGGTAAAGAGAGGGATATTGTTAAATCTTGCTTTCAATCTTATATACTGTATACAGTATCCACCCATATTTTTTGCATTTTAGCATTTTAGGAAGAGCCAACCCTTGTTTTAAAAAGAAAAAAAGAAGTACACATCAGCATACTTTTAAAAATGTAATTATTAAAGAAATAATATACTTAAAAAATATGATTAAAGGTGCTCTAAGCGATGTCACGTTTTTTAGGCTGATTTTTTTTTTGTCACAAACAGCAACGTCTCACTATCCGCTAGATGCCTGTCCCCTGTCCCCTGAACACACTGTAAAAAACGTGGTCTCTGTAGACAGCCTAGGCTCCACAAACAGCAACAAAAAAAACTGGTCCAACCTGGAATACGAAACATAACAAACAGTGTTCCAGCCAATAACCGACAATAAATATTTGGGGTTGGGGGTTAATGCGTGTGCAACGGAAGGGGGGGGGGGGGGGATGAGGAGGAGGGAGGGTCGAGCTAGCCTCCGTTTTGTTTGACAATACTTCGAACATCAACAAGAAGTGACATCACCCAACATCGCTTAGAGCACCTTTAAATGAAAACTTAATTTTCGGACACTTCATTGCATGTATTTTACAATTAAATTCAAATTTATTATTGCCTGATTGTATATTAAATCCAGTTGACTACAGTAAAGTTTAAATGTAGTACATATTTCAAATATATTAACTTAATTATAAATCATACCCCATTTTTAAACATAGAAACAAGAAACATAGTAAAGAAAGTCATGAAAAGTTTACACTTAAGTGGCCTTTTATTTAATTAATAATATTATATTATCTGCAAGTTTTGACTGCAAGTCACTGCAAGTGTACATTCAATACAATTAAGCACACTTCTATTTCACAAGGGAAAGCTCATACTGTACCAGTAATTTGACTCCTTAAAGGGATACCGCTTTGCTGCTTTGGGGCACCACTGACTTCAATAGTAGGAAAAACAATACTATGCAATTCATTGGTGCCCCAGAATTGTTCAGTTTCCCACATTCTTCAAAATATCTTCTTTTGAGTCCAACAGAACAAATAAATGTATAAAGGTTTGGAACAACCTGAGGGTGACTGAATTTGAACTATCCCTTTAACTACGGAGTTTCTTTTGCTGGCTTAGTTTATGTCAACAAAGTAAGCTAAGGTAATTTAGAATGAAAAAAAAATATTTTAAAAACTTTTCAATGCAATTTAAATAGTGCCTGTTCAACATCATTCCGCATATTTAAGGTGTGTCATTATCATTTTTACCCACCTAGAACAATCTTTTGTGAGGCATTGGCACTAGGCAGGATGCCTGAAAATGGAGGCCAGATGTCCACCAAGTCAGAGGGGAGGGTAGTTAGCTTGTTACTTGAAATATCTAGGTAGGTGATGTTAACCAGGTAAGGTGCTGCCTCCACAGGAACATTAGTCAAGCGGTTGTTGTGCAGGTCCAAGGTCCTCAGACTTGGCATCTCTTTCAGAGACTCCCAGGGAAAGATAGCAATCATGTTCCCATCCAGTCGTAGCTCATGAAGAACTTTCAGATTGTAGAAACAGCCAGCATCCACAGAGGTGATTGAATTGTACGTTATCCACAAGTAACGCAACTCTGACAGGTAGTAGAAGGCCTCAGTGGGCACTCGACGCACAGCTGTCTTCTCCACCCGCAGCTTCACCGTGTCCAAGGGGACGTTGACTGGAATATCTGACATGTCAGGGTCATTGCATAAAACAGACCTGTGGCAGATTTTCAGAGCACAGATTGATCACTTCAACCAATATGAGCCTATGTGTGGTGATGTTCATTCATTTTGAGTTTTATTAGTATATATGAGGAATATAGCCTCACAAAGTAAAATGCAAAGAATTATTTTACATGTATAATTTATGTTCACACTGGTCTGAATCTGTTATACCTTTAACAAAACATTTTGATGATTCAAAATGGTCTCCTGTATCGTGAGTGTTTACACTCTCAGGCTAAGCTCTTAAGATAAACAAGATAATACCCCACGTGATAGTTAAAAATGTTTTATTTTTATTTATTTTATTTATGACTCGTTAGGATGTTTGAAATCCAATATATTTATTTAAATATACATGTGAATAATTATAATAATATAAATCTATACATTTACATATTAGACTGTAATGTAATGACAAATTAAAATCCTTTAAAAGACTAAAAATCCAAAACTTAAAACTTAAAAATATTATTATAACAATGTACGAATAAAACGTTTAATTTAACAAACGTTTCAGATAGCCTACATTAGGAAATAAACAGATTTCCCTTCAGTGTCAAAACAAGATTTATAGGCTTAAATTTATATAGCCTATCTTGAGTATAAAGGAACATGCATAATTTAAGAAATTATATAATCCTTGTCGTAAGAGCATCTCGTTTGTTTTGATTCAAAAAGGCTATTGTGCACATTTCTTCTACTTTGGTCAAATTACATTTATAAATATGAAATATTTGTCTGTGGTTTAAGGAGGTTTTAAAAGTATAGGCCTAGTAACATAAAATGTTACTATTAAAACGTGTGGGCCTATTGCTGTTTCTCAAATGCAATTAATTTTCAGTTTATTCCAGCTCAACCTATTTCTTATAGGCCTATAGTATGTCTGTCTACTTATTCAATAATTTATGCAATGGACCTAAATTATGCCTTTTGCAAGGTTATGCTAAATAGGCTATCTTACTTAGATGAAATTTTATTAAACTTTATTATAGCCTATATTTATTATACTTTTTTTTAACTTGTATTATTATTATAGTGAAATAGTGTCCTTACCTGCTGCCAGTGCCATCGCTGCGTCCGTGGTACACGCAGGTGCACTGCGACGGACAGAAGGGTTGTGCAACACTCCAGCAGCACAGGAGAACCTGGGCCACCAGCAGACGATACATCCTTCAGTCACGGACACACATCAGATCCCAATCGATCATCAGTGAACAAAAATCCCTTTAGCAGTCCTCGGGGAGAATGAATAAAAGCAAGAAAAGTGCATTGCCGCATGCATCCTGTTTAGCATGCTAACACAGGTGAGCAGGAAGCTGAGAAGAACTGGAGGATTGGGAGGTGCGCGCGCCGAGATTAGAAAGAGGATTTCTCAAGGCTGAGTAGGTCACTAAAGTTGAACAGTGTGGGATGGGAAGTGTGTGTGTGTGTGTGTGTGTGTGTGTGTGTGTGTGTGTGTGTGTGTGTGTGTGAGAGAGAGAGAGAGAGAGAGAGAGAGAGAGAGAGAGAGAGAGAGAGAGAGAGAGAGAGAGAGAGAGAGAGAGAGAGAGAGAGAGAGAGAGAGAGAGAGACTGTGTTCGGATAAGCCCACACGCTATAATCGGCTAACTGCAAGGTTCTCTCATCGTCGTCACGTGACCGCTCGCTCCCAGACACTTTTCCATCTTGCACCTCCTGTCCTGTATGAGGCTGATTTTGGCTTCCGTCACCTCCCTTGCCTCACACTGTTAAGTGTTGCGTGCATTGTGTAGATGACACCTGTGTGTAAGCTGACGTTCAGGTCATGATTTACTAAGAGTAGGCCAGGTGGCAGACAGGCCAAACTGTTCTGTCTGGGTTGAGAGATGACTCATGACTGCCAACTTTTGAGTTCATCTTGAAGTGAGATTTGGGGATAGCCTATAGCAGGGTTCCAGACTGCGACCAAATTGGTCGCATATGCGACCGTTTTTTGAGAATGTGCGAGTTAAAATTGTATGTGGTCACATTTGTGCGAGTGGACGCTCGCGCAACAGAACGCCGCTGTATCAGCAGCTGCTGCAGTCCGTAACTTAACTTATGTTCAAAATGAACGAGTACATCATGAATCCATTTTACAAACTGTGTTTTTGACTTATCCTGAATCACTACGGTACGCCTATAATAAGTGTTTATATTCTGACTATTTTATCCCGGGCTCGGCTGCGGAGTTGCCCAGTGCCTGCGTGACTCACCATAGACATTAACGGAGAGAAGTAGCTCCGGCTACAGTGTTCTTCCGCAAGACACATGCAGTTTATTTATTGACGAACGTAGACGTCACGCGCAATGCACACTGATGGTGAAACGCGCCAATTATGAATTCAGGAATTAAGGCATAAAAATTAAAAGGTCTCACGAAACACCGAGCCCCTTCCTACGTCTTTTCAGCGGTTAGATGAGAGTAATCGCTCCACAGAGGAAAAGGAAATGATTATAAAATGCAGAAGGCAAGGAGTGTGAGATTTCGGATTTTTGTTACAACTATAAACTTTGATAACGGAAAATCTGTATCAGCATATTATATTACTCTAATCTTTTAAAATGTAATGCATACATTTGAATGTTTAATGATTTTTAAAAGATAGAAAGATGATGCTGATAGAAAGATGATAATAGAGAGTCAGACAGATAGATATAATATAATTCAAATGTAAATAGATAGATTGTATACACTCTAAACAATGCTGGGTTGTTTAAACTCAATTTTGGGTCAAATATGGACAAACCCAAATGTTGGGTTAAAATTTGAATTTTAACCCAACTTTCACTTTCAACTGTAAAAATGTTTTATTACATTTTTAACCCAACATTTGGGGTTGTCCATATTAGAGCCAAATTTGGGTTGAAACAACCCAGCATTTTTTAGTGATAATTCAAATGTTAAATGCTTAAAATTACAGATTAAAATTACTGTCCAAAATCCATTAAAATGATAATTATCATATATTACATGTGTTTTTATATAATATATTACAGGTATTTATGCTACAACTCAGAAAGCCTTTGCTAGCCTTGGTCCATTAAAACCACTATTCATCAACATGCATTGATTAATCCCATGGCATATAGCAAAAAAAAGGTGCGACCAAATCATATGCTGGTGCGACCAACTGAGAAAGTTGGTAGCACCAGTGCAACCAGTGGAAAAGTTAGTCTGGAGCCCTGTATAGTCCATGTTAATTTATCTCAAGGAAAAACTATTGACCTACAATCATAGGATAGGCGGATTAACCATATGCAAGTGCCAATCAACCCTGTCAGCGTGATACCTTATTATTAATTAACAATTGAATTTACAAATATTATTTCAAGTTTGCGACAGTGATCCAAGACAAGAGAGATGTGTCCTTTTGTATAGCCTGCCTCCATGTGGTTTAAATGAAAATAGCAGACCTGTAGAAACATCACCATTCAAAAGTTTGGGATACAGTTTTAAGTTTTGGAAAAAAATTATAATAATAATACTTTTATTCTGCAAGGATGCATTAAATTGATCAAAATTGACAGTGAAGACCTTTACATTATTACAAAAGATTTCTATTTTAAATCAATGCCTTTTTTTTTTAACACAACTGTTTTCAACATTGAATATTCCACAATATTTCTGTTTTACTGTATTTTTGGCCAAATAAATGTATCCTTGGTGAGCATAAGATACATTTTTCAAAAACATGTAAAAACTGACCCCAAACTTTTGAACCTGTGAGTTCTAAATATTTCATGTTAAAGGGATAGTTCACTCAAAAAGTCTGTCATAATTTACTCCCCCTCAAGTTGTTCCAAACCTGTATGAATTTATTTCTTCTGCTGAACACAAAGGAAGATTTTTTGAAGAATATGGGTAACCAAACAGTTGATGGACCCCTTTCAAAGGGGCCCATCAACTAACTTTCTTCAAAATATCTTTTGTGTTCCATAACCTGAGGGTGAGTAAATGATGACATTTTTGGGTGAATCCCTTTAATGGCAGCGCACTGATTTTTTTCTTGTTATTGTTGTAAGTTTATGAAAACGCATCTAAAACTTTGAAGACATTGTCACATAGAGTAAGTTGTCATATCACATGCAGTAGGTATGGTAATGTGAAACATAGGCTATACCACATGCAAATACTTTAAAAAAGTGCAATTGTTCTCTCAAAGTGCTTTATTTATTTTTCATTTGACCTTTACAAATTACCTTCATTTGTGTAACCCATTTTAGTTAGATTATTTTACTAAGTAAAACCAATTCATTTCAATTTGACCACAAGGTAAACTGATGAAATATTTAGTGTGTATGTGAATTCCAACATGATACACAGATTGTCAAGAACAACAACAACCGTAGAGTATTTATTAACAAGTACACCAGTGTAGTTTATTTATGCAAGCAGTTTGTCCCTACAGATCAGAAAAGCCACTGTCAAGCGGTTGGCACATTTATGTACAAAACAAATGAATGGTACAGCTTTCTACTAAGCATTCTTTAGTGAGAGTACAAAAAGACTAGTATACGAGGACAGAGGGAGTGAGCCAGAGAGAGAGAGAGAGAGGGGGGGGTGAGGGTTAGAGAAAGCATTAAGTTAGGGGCTCAACAAGCAATAGTAATAGAAAGGTGAGAGGAAGACTCGGAGGGAGTTAGAGAGATCACCACAAAGTAAACAGGCACAAATCAAACACTAAACCATCGAAGAGTAGGAGTTTCAGCGCAATGTATTCAGCTTAGGATTCAAATTACTTCACATTATGAGAAAGGGGATGACCCAGCAAGACAGTCGCATATAACAAACTCATAAAAAGATGGAATGAAAACTGTTTTTCTTGTTTTTTTTCTTTGATTTTTTCATTATTATTATTATCATCATTATTTATTTTTTTGATCCAGTAAAAACGATTACCATTGAATGCATGACCATGCCACAAATAACACTTAGGTTCACAGTCTTTACCTAACATTACAGGGGTCTGACTTGGAAGCCGGCACCCCAATGCACTTACACCAAGAAAGAGCTCACAAAATGGCCAAATAAGTGCACGAAACTAGCTCTTAAAAAACACTGACGGAACATGACTTGCCAGGCATTAAAAGCATGAGAAGACATCTCCATCATCCAATATAATAATGACTTGTTAGCAAGACAACGAGTAACTGTCATAATAGTAAGCTCTTTAAATATTTGTTTTCATAGTCGTATTCCCCTTCGTAAAGAAAAAAAAACCCACCGAAAGAAAGTGATCTGTCACAAAACGTTCCTGTGTCTCGCCTGGATTTTGCTTCACCTGTCTTTTTTCTTAGGCTTTCAGAAGAACACCCTCCCTCTGCCCACCCTATCCTGTCATGGAATGTGTTTTCAGTCTAATACGAATTCACCTGAAGTTTAAGTGCTAACTTACAGTACATACATTTACACATTGACTTTGTACAAAAGCTGAAAACAAAAAGCGTCAAATAAAAACCCTGAAGGCTTTACTGTGTCTATATCTATTCGTGTAGGAAAATAAAAAAGAGGGGGTCATAACACTGTAGGCTTGTGCATGTGTCACTTGCTTCCAGTAAAGAGAGAGTTGCATTGCTGCCGAAGAGGGGGTCGCTGACACTACAGTAAGATTTAAATGCGTCAGAAAGATCCTCTCCCTCTCAGAGAAGTTACAACGCCACCTACTGGCACGATGCGGTCTGAAAACTTGACTAGCACGGCAAGCAAATAATAACCATTTTGTTCTTTTGTAATCATCTTGATAAGCTATGCAATGACATCTGTAGAAAAATAATAAATAAACACTTTATGGTACATCTGTTATATCTTAATTTTGTTTTTTGTCTTTTCTGTCTCAGTTTTTGAGTTTTCTTTTACCAAAATAATGCAGAATGAGCAAGCCATCTGCTGGTATCGGGCTTCATACCTTCTGATGATTAAAAAAGGAGAGAAAGAGAGAGAGAATTGTTTTTGTTTTTTTACCTAATTTCTTTCATGATTTAAGTCTTTGATAATGAGACCTTAAGAGACAGACACACATGAAAAATGTGCTTTTCCTCCAAAAACCGAACCTCTACATAAGAATGATTCATGTATTGATGCTAAAATGTTTTAAAAAAGAAATATATTTAAAAATTGTAATATGTGGTGGAAAAAAGAACCAGCACAATCTCATAAAATTAAATACATTAATGTGAAAAAACTACAACACTACAGCTAGCACTAATAATAATAATAATAATAATAATGTTTGTGCGAGAGGTAATGGGTTGGCCATGGGGTTGGTCATACGACACACCACCTGGACTGCACCAGTGCCAAAACTCCCTTCAACAGGAAGTGAAAGCACTGAGGGTCCTCTCGCCCCGCTGCTGCTTCCTGTCTTATGTGTAGGCATTGAGCCGTTCCTTGGAGCGCGTAGAGTGGATGTCATGCAGCTCCTGCTCCTCCTTGGACTTGCAGTCCTCATATTTCTGCATTTTACATGCATCCTTCACATAGGCCCAGTTGGCGGACAGCACCATCAGGTAGTGGATCTGAAACAACATCATGTAATATTAAATACCGTCAACACAGTCAACTAAACCTTTGCATTTATATTAATCTAATAAATTGTTCTTATGAAACATACTTGCATTTATAAATCTCATAAAAGGATTATTATTATTTTAAAATCGATTTATTATTGAAATAACATCAACAAAGTCAACTAAACATTTACAATTGTATCATTCTGACACTTATTTACTTATTAATCGTATTATTATTTGCACATGATATATATTGTACAAAATGTATATATATCCAAAATTCAGCTGCTTGAGTTCTTATAGGTCAAGAAAATATGATCAAATTACCCCAATTTGATCATCTCTGCACTGGTTACCAATTAAGTTCCGTATCGATTATTAAGTATTGCTACTGACCTATAAGGTCCTAAATGGTTCAGCTCGTGTGAATTCTATTTGCCCTACAATCCATCACACTCTTTATGGTCACAAAACTAAACGAGGCAGAGCTTTTTCACATTTGCCTCCTAAACTCTTGAATAGCCTGATAATGTTCGCGGCTCAGACACACTCTCAGTTTCTCCGAGCATTCACATAATGCATCTCATAATCTTGCACTCCAGTTATATTAGATCAAAAGCATATGACTATGTACTACTTGAGATGTTATCATATGTTATGAACAGTTAGCTATGCTAATTATTTTCCATTTGCTTTTCTGTGTCAACTAGAGAGTACACCAGCTTCGGTTTGATCTTATGAAGACTTCAGATGACCCAACACCTTTAAAGACAGACTGCTGTGATATTTGCTTCCGCTGAAGCTCCATTATTTCAGCTTTTTTTTTTTTTATAATCACGTTTAAAGGAGAACTCCGGTCAATTTTAACATTGAGCTCATTTTTTTGTACATTTGGAGTGCTGTCAGTACAGACAAAAACGACAAAAATCGGTGTTTATTTACTTCCTGGTTTCGTTCGAAGTCCACAGTAGTCGATTGTCGAGTTCGCGTGCACGATCATTAGTTATATTAGTTACCAATGATCGCGCGCGCGAACTCGACAATCAACTACTGTGGACTTCAAACGAAAACAGGTAGTAAATACAGGTATGTGAGCTGGCTGAATTAACATGATTTTTATTAATATCTTTCACATCTACTGCAGTCAGATTGACCGTGGTCACTCTTAATAACACCACTCACATGGCTGTGCACTTGTAATGACACATTAAGCAGGTGTCATTACAAGTGCACAGCTAAAAGCAGGTTTAGAACTTGCCCCATTGAAGTCAACAGGGTGGGAATTTTAAAAAGAGGATAACACGGTGTAGGCAACACCGAATTTTGTCGTTTTTGTCAGTACTGACAGCACTCCAAATGTACAAAAAAAATGAGCTCAATGTTAAAATTGACCGGAGTTCTCCTTTAACAGTGGAATTCCTGTTGAAAAACATTACCCATGATGCTGTACAGAAAATTACACCAATCAGAGAGTTGAAAAAGGCAACACGTGCATGAATAGCTCTTTAGCTCCTCCCACTCCCATAAAGCATACATATCCCTTTCATGCATAGTGGTCACTACAGTGGACAGCTATTAAAAAAAGCATTTTCTTGAATTTGCAAGGGTTTTGATGGCAAAGTTGCACATCAATCTCTTCAGTGGACCCTGGTGCATCATCCTATACATTGCAACCAAGTTGCAAGCCGTTGTGTTTCGAGTTTTTCCCCCTCCAAACCATGATGGCCAATGGTCAGTCAGACATGCCAAGTTGCTCCGGAATATCCACCCATTCCTTCTATCCTAGGAGACTCTTGTAGGTAAAATAATATTGCAGCATCAAGCAATATCTAATGAGTCATATCACAGTAAAATTGTCCAAGTTTTGATTTTAGATTGGGAGAAAAATCTGATTAATCACCTGTCCACTATAGTGGACCTCATGCATCAATGGCTATATTTCTGCTACAATTCATACTTATACTGTGAATATTGTTTTTGAAAATACTTAATCTGCAGTGACGTTTTTTTTACTGTAAATAAATGTATTTGTATTATTAGAATGATAATTTCATTGACATCGAAAAAAGTTATGTGTGTACATAATTTATGTGACTTGACTTACGCAATGAATGTTGCTTGTAATGCATTTATTTACTCGTAACATCAAAAAGTAATCTGATTACGTAATGCACATTACTTGTAATTAATTACTTTACTTGTTAGATCAAAAAGTAGTCTGATTAGGTAATACATGTTACTTGTAATACATTACTTTACTCGTAACATTAAAACAAATCTGATTATGTAATGCACGTTACTTGTGACACATTACTTTACTTGTAACATCAAAAAAGTAATCTGAATGCGTTATGCCTGCCCCAACACTGCTAATTTCAGATGAGATTGAAAAATACGTATCGCTAGGTTTTCTCAGAAGAGGGCTATGCTAGAAATGTGTCTATCTTGAACATAATCAGAATTATCAGCTAATAAAGGTAAATTGACATACTCTGGTACACTGGAGGGAGCATCTGAGTGGTTTCCACTGTTGTACCTTGACAGGCTGTAGAAATTTCAGATGGAATCACGTCCTCATGTTCTGATATCAAAGATACACGAAGTGCAACTTGTATGAAGTTCAATTGCATTTGCAATATTTCGAATTTATATTTTTTGTATATATTTTATAGTTTTCACATGATTTGATATAAATGTATTGATTAGTTTGTTAAATACACATACTTTATCTGTTTGATTATTGTATTATGTTTAATATAGTATCTCTTCAGTTTAAACCATAAATGCATGCTGTCCACTCAAGTGGACACCTGAAAATTTCATTGGAAAATTAGTAAAAAAAACAATTTAAAAATCAAATCTTGTTTTTCATGCCCTAAGAGCAATAAAAACACATAGGAAAAAAATCCTGACTAAGGTTATCATAATTCATGCATGAAAGGGATATTGTAGCCTAGTTCTTTCCCTCACCAAAGCCGTTAAGTACACAGTCTACCTTTGTATTTTCTAATTCTTGTACCTCAGATTTTCAAAAACTGTTTTGCTTCAAATCAAAGTTTGTAGTGTTGTGATTCAACTCGTAGCTGATTGGCTTGGCTCATGCCTTGAAATCTCTATGGGAGAAATGAATGGAAAAAGTACTTCCGTAACCAGCGGCACTGAAAAAGGGGGCGGGCACTGTTGCACTATTGTTTCTGCAAATGAATACATGATATTATCTGCATGATTTGTATTATCTGTATTATTTTTGACAAATGGACATTATTTTGACACAGTCACCTCTGATAACAGATCACTCTAAATTGTAAATAAACCTGCATTTTCTGTAAAGCTGCTTTGAAACGATATGTATTGTGAAAAGCACTATGCAAATAAATGTGAATTGATTAGGGTTTTTTTATACACTACTAGTCAAAAGTTTGGAATCATTACGATTTTTTTTTTTGGCATGTTTTTTAAAGAAGTCTCTTATGGTTACCAAGGGTGCATTTATTTGATTGAAAAAATGCTAATATGCTAATTTGTATATTTGGAATAAGATCTTAGCAGACTGTGATGACGCATGTTTGCCACTCTAAAATTAGCAGTGACACCAGCAGGAGGCAGCATTGTAAAGCAGCCAGACTCCTCTCATATGTGTGCTGGAAAACCTATGCACAAAAATACCTTGATGAAGGCCCTGGCTAGTGGCTATATGGCTCTACTATATTATGAAATATAGTAAAGGTTTTACAAGTGTGTAAATTGAAGGGGGGTCTAACACTATATGAAATCAAAGGAAGTGTGTGGGGTTATAGCAGTCTTGATTTTAAACATTTTATATATATATATATAGAGCCTATAAATAGGTTAAGAGGGAACTGCTGTCCTGCATGAGAGCATACACTATATTTTGTTTACTTCAGTGCACCATTATGCAAATCAGATTTACATTATGCATGCTCATTAGAATAGGACCACACCCTGAATTCCTCTTCTTGACAAAGGAAAAGCTTGGTTATTATTACCATTCCCAGAGAGTGTAAGGAGGACGCATTGTTTAACAATCAGTTAAATTAGCTCTTTCCACAACAGGAGACGGAAAAGCTCTTTCTATAATTTGCTACATCATCCCAGACTAACAACCACATTCTCTTTTTCAGAAAATGGTTCCTCGCAAATTACTGTGCGCTGCTTGCTACAAGCTCTAGGGCCTTTCTTCCCCTAGTTTCCATGACAACAGAACGTGGCCAGCGTCTCTCCGTGTGTGTGTGTGTGTGTGTGAGAGAGAGAGAGAGAGAGAGAGAGAGAGAGAGAGAGAGAGAGAGAGAGAGAGAGAGAGAGAGAGACAGAGGGGCAGGCACAAAGATGTTAAATAACAACAAAGAAAAAGCAATATGAGAGAGCTGACAATACCCCAATGCTCAATTTTTTCATGACTTTAGTTTTATCCCATTTCAGTTTAGAAGAAGGTGAAGTCATTAATTCAGCTCGCATCATCACACAAATAAACACGCTGTTGCCAGTTTAAAAGGACGAAATTAAACTCTCCCTCTTAACATTTTTTTTTTGTGTCAGCTTTAGGACTTTCAGTCACCATGATATCAAATATTATGTTAAAAGGGAAAAATTATTTGCATTAAAAAATGCCTAAAAAAAAAACTTGCTATGAATAAGCAAGCAATTGAATAGACATTGTAACGTATTTAAATATTAATTCATTCCCAAAAAAGATGGAGCAAGTTACATATTATATAAAACTTGTTGGTTGTTGTTTTTTAAAAACATATTTTTGTTATGATCCATACTTTAAAAATCCATTAAAATGATTGATGTACAGAGTGATATACTTTAAATGTTACATTTTAGTAGTTCATTTTAATGCGCAAGGAACACTAAAACATTCAGCTGAACTTTAATGGTTAACTTCATTTTGTTTTTTTGTAAATGCATTTTTTCCCCTCATAAAAATTAGTTAAAGACATTAGTTTCAGTACTGAATCCATTTGTGAAACCTCTTCTCTAAAGGCTAGAATACATGACCTTTACTTAGATTTTCGCCCTGATTCGCACATTACAATACGTGCCGAAAGTCTGCAGATTTTGGCCAGTCGGAGTTGACAAATTTCACAGAAAATGGCATAGTGCATGATGGACACAGAATCAGATTTTTTAGCTTCAGACTATAATTGCATCCAGTCAGAGGTATTCAAAGCATATTTGATATTTTGAACACATATCGTAATGTGTGAGCTTTCAGCTTTCAATCTGATTTCAAGAGTGGTGTAGTGTATTCCAGATGCTATGTATAATTGGTCAAAACTCACCATGGCAATGACTGCAGCTCCAGCCCCAGCCAGCGCACACACAAACAGATGGAAAGTCATATCCAGCTTTCAGAAAGAAATATTGAGAGAGAGAAACGAGTCTTGGGTTGCTTTTCATTGTGGAAATGATTTATACAACTAATTGAAAACATTAGAATTGTGAATCTAGTGAACTTGTCTGTACTTCATACTGACCTCATTCGATTCACACATTTTGAAGAACTTCTCTGATCCTGCACATACAGTCTTCTCCTCTCCAAAGGGCACAACACCTTAAATAAATAGTTGTTGTCATTTCTCAAGAGCAATCTGTGTTTTTAGGGTATATGAGGTTATATTGAGGCGATGGATATTACACATTTTTTATTTGGATAACCAACCAGTAAGAATAAAATTACAGCAACAAAACAAATGATCCCTGAAACTTCTTTGTAACCACACCTAAATATCTGGCAGTGAAACCCACAGATTATGAAACATACCAAACTGGCGCGGGTCAAGACATAAACTTGCTCCCTCCAGAACGGTCATGTTTTGGCAAATGGTCCAGATGTTGAAATACATGAAGACAGGCAAGGAGGTGAACGCTGTTACACCCAGCCAAGCCAACATGAAGATGTACGTCAGCATGATGAACTGAAGGAAAGGAAGGATTAAGATTAATGCCTAAATACCCGATCAAACTCTAAATTAGAAAATAATTTACAATACAAGAGAATTAAATAAAAGGCACAATTATAAGCATCAATAATTTCATATAAACTCAGAAAACTCAACATGTAAGGTAAGATACATAAATAGGAATGTCTCTATTAAAGGAAAATTAAACAAAATCTGGAACAGTGTGCAGAGTTTAGCTATAAGTGTTATAAATTAATTACAATATAACAGCAACCACACCATAACTTTCTTGTTTCACACTGCATAAATGAGAGGAGAATAACTCGCAGAGTTCACTGCTTTTATAGCCTATAAACGGATGCTATGTTTATGTGCGGCAGTTACTCTTAGTGGCTTTATCGTTGCCCTATTGTACATTCCAATGCATGAAGTTCTCCCAGCGATTTCTCACCCATGCACTGACACAGCGTCCACAGGTGGTGATTTTGAAGTCTCCATACAGGTCCTTGATGGCCCCACTGGTGAAGAAGCCTTCGACCATCAGAAGAATGCCATACACAAAGAACGCTGAGGCAATGCCATAGATCACATACTTGATAATGTCAATGCTGTGGGAAACGAAGGAAATAAAGTCAATGATTATATATGCGTTGGTAAAAAAAAGACTCATACATTTCTAATCTAAAAACCATTAACAAAAGTAATCATGTGACCACAAATTAAGGCAGTATAGTTCACATTACTCAATCTATATTGGACTCAATCACACGGAGAGAGTTGTAAACAAACCAGAACACAAACAAATATTTTTGTCTTGCCAAGTGAATTCAGCATGTTACTTAAGAAATCAATCTTGAATCTTAAATAAAATAGATGATTTGGATATTATTACATTAATTTATAGGTGCAGTAAGCAATTTCTGAGAAACGCTGTTGAAAGTGGATTGGAATGAGCGCGACAACACATATGTAGCCAATCAGAAGTAGGGGGCGTGTCCACTCATTATGGGAGAGGAGAGAGAGTGAGCAAGAGGGAGATTTGAAGAAAGACTGTAAAAAGAGGGAGATGGCTGAGAGACATTCCAAAGAGAAAAGATTAGAGGAATATCACTGGAAAAGGAAGGGATCAGGCAAGAGTTTAGGGCCCACATGAATATTAGAAAATCTTTCCAGCACTGGAGAAACCTAGCTGGAATACCTGGAAACGAATGCAGAGATTGTGTTGTTTCTGCTCCATACAGGAGTAACAGTGGTTTACAAAGCATTATTTTGTTTCACTTCAGCTATGATAAAGAGACATACACTCTTGCATTGCGTGCAGCAATGAAGGGAGGGGTGTGTTTGTTTGGGTTGATTTCAAATATCAAAAGTGTTCAACAATGATTCTCAGAAATCTCTTACTGTACCTTTAAATCAGTGTAAACTACAATACATGGTCATAAACTTAGCATAACTGTGGATCTAAGCCAATGTGTGAAATATTTTTGTCAAAATGGAGGTTTGTGAGTTAGTCATGTTGAGTCAAAAGCTTAATTTGCCCCCCCCCCCCCCCCCCCCCCCCCCCCCAAATGTAAACAGGCTGTGTATATGTGTGTAACTGTGTTTTTAAATTATATTTTTTGATATTCTACAGATAAGATCAATATGACAAGGAAGTACAAAAAAAGACAAATTGGGAGATTGTCCACTACAGATATACACTTACACGCATATGCACTCGTCCCAAAACACACACACACACACACTCTCTCTTTTGTGTGACACCATAACGTACAAGTTCATGTTAATGTTTGCTGTTATTAATGTTACAATATTGAAGTAACAAATACCTAATTATTGACAAATGTTAAGTTTAAGCTGTACATATACACAAAGGCTCATTTACTCACATCCTTTCTGTAGTTAACACACAAAGATCAATTTAATCTTTACTGGATAAACACTTAAAAGTATGACTTTTTGCCTTTGTTAAATGGATGGCATTAATCAAGTTCAAAATTATCTCAAAATTGATTTTGTGTCATTTTAATATCAGTATTTAACAGTGGCATTATTTACCCAAATTCCCATGCTCATTTTACCTGTGCATTTGAGAAAGTTGTGCCATAGGACTAACTTTTTTGATGTTCTAAAACCATTATAATTACATGACTTGTTTTTGCGTACACAACAACCCGAACTGAAACAACTTTACTTACTTTAAGTAAATCATCAAATGTAAAAAGTGGCTTATGTTACCCTGTTCTCCCCTATGCTTAAATTAAGAAAAAGAAATTGATAATGGGGTGAGAAAAATACACACAATTCCACAAATAGTACCAGTCAAAAGTTTGGAAACATTAATATATATTTTTAATGTTTTTGAAAGAAATCTCTTATGCTCACCAAGGCTGCAATTATTTAATCAAAAATACAGAAAAAACAGTAATATTGCAAAATATGTTTTCTATTTGAATATAATTTATTGCTGTGATCACAAAGCTGAATTTTCAGCATTATTACTCCAGTCTTCAGTGTGACATGATCCTTCAGAGATCATTCTAATATGATGATTAGATGCTCAAGAAATATTTATTATTATTATTACCAATGTTGAAAACAGTTGAGCTGCTTAACATTTTTTTGTGTGGAAATGGTGATATTTTAAAACTGTAGACGTGGCACTCAAATTTATCAGGTACTTTAACAACAACAGAAAAACAACTTGTTCCAGCAGTTATTTGAAACTTGCTTAAGTCTTCAGAACAAAAGGCTAACTAAAATCCAAGATATAGATCTGCCATATATATATTTGAAAAAGCAAAAAAAATATTAATAAATTATCAAATAAATGTGGACATCTGTTAATGCACAGCTCTCTTAAGGTCAGCAACAATTGCTTCTCTAATATCATTGCTGATGTCTTTTCTTCTTTTGGCATTATGTAAACACACACCTGAATGCTCTTGACCAGCAAACTGCCAAAACTTCTTCTTTTATAGAGGTGATCTGATAATCAATTAATCAAAGACATTTGATAAGTAGCGCCTAACTGCTACGTACTGTCTTAAAGGACCACTTCACCCATTTCAACATTAATCTTTATTGAAAGTGGGTCATATATGTAGTCGAAATGTAAAATAATTTTTGAATTTGGTGCCCTCTTGACCGAGAAAAGACAGAAAATAACTTTAGGGCGCATTTGTATGTAAGACAACAACTCCCACAATGCACCACATTGCACAGCTCCGCAAGCCACTCCCACTAATCCAGAACAGCGCAAACAGAGAAATCACTCTTTCGTCTACAAGGCTAACGTTAGCTGCCACCAGAGTTAGAAATTCATTTCACACAAAATTTCTAGTTAGTTGGCTGTGGCCATAGATATATACACTAGATGTCGCCTTGGCTACGGCAGTTCATTAGAACGAATGCGTCAATAGAGCCGCCATCTTGGAACAGGGGAGCCCCTCCACTTTAATGCATCAGCGAGCGTCAATGTAGACAAAGGTCTAACGGAAATAAAATCACCATAAATCATCATGAATGCGATTTTCTCGTTTTTTTGGTTCGTTCCCACGGTCAGACATGTATTTATCATTGATTCCAGAAAAAGAAAAAGAAAAAATATATATATTTTTTAAAAACATTCTTCCTAGTTCAGATTTCATTCGTGTGAACATCATACACAGCACAAAAGTCCGCCACCATCAATTAATTAGAAGTAAAGGCAGAGATAACAGCGTTACCTAGTTACTTCCTATGACAAGACCCCTGTTCCAAGATGGCGGCAGTTTTGACGCATGCTTAGAACCCCAAGGTGACGTCTAGTGTATATGTCTATGGGCTGTGCCGAGCAGGACGAGGGCGAGGGACGCGAGGGGACGGCGCGAGGCCGGTGGTGTGAGTGATAATGAACGACACCTGTGAGACGCACCAGTCTCGCGTCTCTCACGGAGGAGTGGAAGCATAAAAGGAGGAGCGATGACAGAGCAGATCGAGAGAGAAACAGGCCTGATTTTATGTTGTGTTTTGTTTCTGTTTGCTTATACTTTTGTTTTGTATTTGTTTATTTTACTATTAAAATGTTTAAATGTTCGCCGGTTCCCGCCTCCTTCTTCCCACAACAACGAACCCCGTTACATTGGCAAACTCATTAGTGATTTACTCCTCGTTTGTATTTCTTTCTATATGGTGAATTATTGCGTGATACCGGGATGTTCAGTCAGGCGAAACTAGGATGGTTCACATCACAACACAAACGTCCGTGTGCTCGTCTGATTCAGAGATTTCGTCCAGGAGAAATTGCCATCGTTGAAATTCTCTGCAGCAGACGGACTCTATCTGTGTCCGTAGCGCACAGCGAGAGCACACGCACCAGCAGTCCGCCCAGCTCGAGCCAGCCCGGGCTCCTCGTCCGCCTCCTGTTCCTCCATCAGCCTCAGCTGCTCTTCACTATACTGCGGCTCGTAAAGATAGCCACGAACATCGGATTCGAGCAGCAGAATTTCAAAATCCTCTTCTTCCATATCATGTTTAGTTTCTTCCGTCATTGTCGTAACTTCCTATCTCCACAGAGCGCTTGTTAGCTTAGCTTCCAAACAAGATGGCTGATATTGATTTCAGAATCTGCAAGTGAAGTCCCACCCACTGATCTGTAATAGGTCTGTAGCTTGAGTGGGTCCCACACCCTGGATAAATGATGAGCTAGTGTTTGTAGTCTCAACCCTTATACAAAGAAATGAGACTTCCTGCTTTTTATGACGCAAAATGACGATTTTTACGTCATAAAAAGCAGGAAGTGGAACACTTAAATCCTTATTTCTCCCATCTCAGGGGATAATAAACCATGACCATTCAAAAATATGACTGGGTTTCTAAAGATACAAAGCTTAATGCAAATGGGTGAAGTGTACCTTTAAGTCCTATGGAAGCAGTAATGGTGTACTTAGTTTGTCACCCATGGCTTTTCCATTTTGGCTTTATTTTTGTTGAATAAATAATGACAAAATGTAATATGTCGTTGTTGTGTTGTTGTTGTTGTTCATCCGAGGTTGTATTTACCCAATTTTAAGATCTGCCAAGAACCAGATGATTTTTTATTATGTCCTGATATATAAAACCATAGAATTTAATAGGGTGTCCTTTCTTTTTCACATGACTGTATATGAGTAACCAACAGGAGGAAAAATCAGGATCATTTGACGCTAAAGACTAGAGTAATGATGCTGAAAATACAGCTTTGCCATCACAGAAATAACTTACATTTTTTAATATATTCAAATAGAAAACATTTATTTTAAATGTTAATATTTCACAATATTACTATTTTTTTATAATAGTAATATATTTTAGCATTAACTGACTAACTAACATTATTTTAATTATAAGTTTGATATATTTATTTATTTTTTGGCAGAGTGGCACTTGCGTATGTAAAATGTATATATGTGGAAATCTACAGCGAGAAATGGCCGGTTCAGTGTGCTGCTCTCACTTACATTGTAAACACATCCAGACCATCTCCAGGTCCCCTGATCACCTCAAAGTAGTTCTGGAGGATGGTGACCGTTCCAGAAAGAGCTTCATGTCCACATCCACAGAAGAGCGCCACTCCAGCATACAGCAGGATGGTGGCAATCAGGGATGGATAAGGGATGCCTCCTAGACATTTCAGACAACACTCCATACATCCTGAGAGAACAAAGACAAAAAGAGGTCATGTTTTTCATCAGAAAGGTACAGTTGGTGAGAACAAGCTGCTTTTTAATCATCAAGATCTTCGAAGATGTTTTGAGTGTCTGTGTTTGATTCCATTTTTTCATTAACAGTTTAATTTCAGCTGTTTCTACAGTATGTCATGTCATGTAAGAAAGCAGTATTCTTGCACAGAAAGCAAAGCTAGTGTAAGTCGTCTTCTGTGCTCTTCTTAGTGTCTAGCCTCTGCCTGACAAGACTAACAAGTACCCAGACGGTTGGAAATAAATCCTCAGTCCATTCACTCTGACAGTCCAGTGAGGTCCAGTTCATTCTGTGTGTGTGTGCGTATTTGTTACTCTCCAATGATGTGCAAAATTGTCCCTGCAGCAGACTATTTAAAATTCTCCCCTTGGCATCATATATCAGAGTGAATCATAACAGTATGATTCATGAATAACAAAATGGATGGTAGAATTAGAGGATGGACTTTGACACTAGGTTATTTAATTGAGTTTTTCCAAACGTTTCATTTCAAAATTTCATTTGAGTTTAGCTTTGACACAGACAAGTGTGTTATGTTTCGAACAAAACTTGCAGTTCATTTTTAGTTTATGAAATTTCATTATGTCTTTTTTTTTTATTTGTATACTTAATACACTTATTTGTTAAAATAATGCACTGTATGAAAATGTTTAATTTCACTGTGTAAAAAAAAAACAAAGAAAACAAAAAAAAAAGGCAGCTGTAGATTCCAGAAATGTACTGTAGAAATGTACAGTAACAATCTTTTGGGCATTATGAGATAACATGGTATTTTAATTGAAAAGCTTTTTTTTTTTTTTTTTTTACACATAATTGTAACATTATTTTACCAAAAAGTTGGATGTATTTCCAACATAAATTATAAGATAATTTGTATGTTATACTACACTGAAAAAAGTGGTAACCTAAAAATGGTAACATCTACATAAACTGGTTTTATTCAAAGAAATATTATTTATCTTCACTTAACCAACACAAACATTTATACCAGCAAAACACATTTTTATGGGTTAAATCAGGTAGAAATCACTCTTTAAGGTAACAAATTCAGGACACCACTAATTACAGTGTAAACATATTATTTTACTGTTACTATATGTTATTGAATTATGTTATTATATATTTATACTATTACTATATTTTACAGTAAATTGACATGCATTGTCTTTTTATATAATAGCTTAAAAAAATGTTTACAGTAGCATTTCTACATTGTCTTCAGTGTAGTGTTTGGCATTTTTACTTTGTGAAGAAGAATAAACTTTGATTCAGCTCGCATTTATTCCCAACTCAGTGTCTGTATGCCAGTCCTTATAAAATGAGTGCAGGAACCATGTTACAACCATGGTTTGGTTGAAGCTATTGCTCCCATTTCAGGGCTTTGGATGTGAATTATTGAATACTGTCAAATATGGTAATAATGATGCTGTAATGAACCTCAGACCTGGCTTTACAGTGGATTTGGCAAGGGATCAACCTGTTGCCATAGCAACTGCTGTGGATCAAGAAATGTGAGAATATAGACAGTATCTGATTCTTTGTAGTGTTTAACAGATCTACAGATTTGCTATGTTCTTTTTTTCTAAATCATTAAAAATGTTTTTGTTGTCTTAAACATGTTGCAAGCGTTTAAGTATTTTAAAAAGTTTTTATATTTGACCATTAACAGACCAACACACTCCCTGCATAGTAATACATTATTTGAAATGTTACACACAGTATGTTCTTATTATTTTAAATAATACATCTTCATATGCCTATAGTTTTACTCAACTACATTACCGTATTAGCATTTACACAATACTACTTGCAATTTTGATCCTGTTATGAGATTCTTTGAAGTGTTTAAAAACCACTGCATGTCTCCTGAGCCTACACGAATTGCATTACATTACAATGCAACCTTATATTCATCATTCAAGGGTATTAGATGAAACAGCATTAAAAATGCATGCAGATTGCACACTTTGTTAATACAGGATCTGATTTACAATACAAATTCTCACAGGATAGCCTCACTGGCAAGATTCACAACAGATCACAGGCAGCCAAACCGTTGCAATCTCATGTTCTTATAGTGCAGCCAAAGACAGAAATGGTTTACCAGACCAATGCAACTCTCCATTATGAAAGCAACCAAAATGCAGGCCAAGATACTAAACTGAACCATAAAATCAGTGCAAACATGCGTGAACATTAATGAATAAAGTTCACCTGCCAACTACTTGTACAAACGATACAGTGAGTTTCTAGACAATACTCCTTTTTATTAATAAACCTAAGCTAAAACCATGCATGTATTTCCCATGCATTCAGATCATGAATGGTATATCACGTCTTTTTTTTAATCATTGCATAAAAACTTCTTTATAGCTTCTTTTATCATTGGAAATTAGACTTAAGATTCACTGATGCTTAATGTAATTATCACATATACACAGTTTAATATTTGCAGTTTGAGGAGCCAGTCTGAAATTTAATTTATTAATAAAATATACATAGATATACTTAATCTACTACACAATAAAACGAAACAAACTTCACTTTAATGCGTTCATCAGCGCTGTTAACTAAAACTATACAAAAAAAAATCGTTAATTTAAATAATTGTAATAAGTTACACCTCGTCCGCATTATTTTGCAATAATTCAATGGATCGGAGTCAATTATTCCGCTTATACCACGGCTACCACAGCTCAAAACATTGTTCAGATGATGTATTTCAAGACATTTGTCAGGTTTTAGTCCTTAAAACGCTCTTATGTGTAGAACTAATTTCTTACACATCTCATCCCAAGCCTCCGTTGCTAATGTCATTTTGGCGCTAGTAACTGTGATGATCTGTAATGTGGTGCGGTAGAAGCACGGGAAGGAGGCTGGATCCAAACGCAGTGTACACGCTTTATTTTAACAAACTATAAACTCAAACAGAGACTCAGAATGTGGAACAAGAATCTTTACACTGGGAACGACCAACACTCACGTTAATCCTGAAACATATAACAACTCACAAAGACAGAGCAGAAACACAGGGCTTAAATAATCAAGTACAAACGAGCTAACAGGATAACAAGGGGGCGTGGGAAAATCAGAAACACCTGGGATAACTAATAAACAAGACAGGGAACACCAGAACATGACAAAACACGACAAGACACAAAACCCACATTACGACATAACCCCCCCTTAAGGGCGGCTCCTGACGCCCAACAAAAAAAAAAAAAAAAAAAAAAGTTCAGGAGGGCGGTGAAGCACAGGCGGTCTTGGGGGAGGGATGGAGGGCCAGGCCCATGCAGGGGAACGGACCCTGGACATAGACAAGGCGGGCCTGGGCCATGGAGCGTGGGCGGGCCTGACTGAACAGGTGGCCAGGGCGGAGCAAGACGAGGCGGAGGCCAGGGCGGAGCAGGATGAGGCGAAGGCCAGGGCGGAGCAGGCCAGGGCGGAGCAGGACGAGGTGAAGGCCAGGGCGGAGCAGGACGAGACGAAGGCCGGGGCGGAGCATGACGAGACGAAGGCCAGGGTGGTGAAGCCCCTGCAGACGACCATGGCGGCGCAGCCTTCATGGTCTCCTCACCGGACCCTTGGCCCCCCCCCCAAAAAAATACTTGGGGAAATCCACGGGTTCAGGAAAGGCCTCCCGGAGCTTGAAGGGTGCAGGCAGGGCGAGGCGCAGAGGCGGGGCCGGCAGGGCGAGGAGTCTGGGAACGCCCTTCGGAGCCTGGCAAGGCAAACGAGTCCTCCTTCTCCTCCTTCTGCGACGACGCGTCACTGGGCTTGACTCACTTGACTCTGTAGACTCACTTGACTCGGGATTCGGTCACTTGACTCGGGATTCGGTTCACTTGACTCGGGATTCGGTTCACTTGACTCGGGATTCGGTTCACTTGACTCGGGATTCGGTTCACTTGACTCGGGATTCGGTTCACTTGACTCGGGATTCAACTCACTGGTTTCGGCAGGGCTCACATGAGGCGCAGGCTCGGTGGGGCAGACGAGAAGTGCGGACTCGGCGGGGCTCACGTGAAGCTCGGGCTCGACGGGGCTGGACCGGACCAGCGGCGAAGACGACGAGGGCTTCGCGGGTAATGTGAACTCGGGAGGTGTCGAGTAGAACAAGCCTGTAATGGAGAAGAGGTCTTCCAAGGAACAAGCCTGAGCGATATACCGGTCAAGAGTCCAGTTGGTAAGGTCCCGCGGCATCCATCGAGCGATGTAATAATCCAGCCCGTTCCAAAACAGGCCCATGAGCTGGATATCATCTAGCGCTCCCAGATGGCAAATGGACAGAAAATCCTTCGCGTACCTTTGGACGGACTGGCCCTCTTGCAATAACGTCGACATGTATTCTCCCAGAGCCCGGTTGCTGACAACTGCTGGATCCATTTCGTGGTGAGTTGTTCTGTGATGATCTGTAATGTGGTGCGGTAGAAGCACGGGAAGGAGGCTGGATCCAAACGCAGTGTACACGCTTTATTTAAACAAACTATAAACTCAAACAGAGACTCAGAACGTGGAACAAGAATCTTTACACTGGGAACGACCAACACTCACGTTAATCCTGAAACATATAACAACTCACAAAGACAGAGCAGAAACACAGGGCTTAAATAATCAAGTACAAACGAGCTAACAGGATAACAAGGGGGCGTGGGAAAATCAGAAACACCTGGGATAACTAATAAACAAGACAGGGAACACCAGAACATGACAAAACACGACAAGACACAAAACCCACATTACGACAGTAACGGAGGCTTGAGTCATTAATAGCAGATTAATGCAGTTATTAGAGAGAGAGAAAGTTACCCAAGTCTGTGCTTTTCTCAACAGTGTTCGGCAGCAGCGTCTATACTAATATAGAAAATGTAAGTTTATCTGCTTCAAGAACAGGGCCGTTATTACCTCGCTATTGAGAAATGTCATGTAGCTTTTAAGTTGCTAAACTAAACTATTTGACTACTTTAAAAAAATCATCAGAGCAGCACTGACAACACGTTTCTGTGCGAGTATGTTACAGTTTAGTTTTAACGGGAGTGAGAGTTATAGAGTGTGATTGTCGTACATAATAAAACATAATTTTGGGGCAAAAAACATGAAAATAATTTGTCATTTTTATCCTATTGTTTACTATATATTTATTTGCTTCGTAGTCAATGTCGTTGTGCGTTTTGGTTCTTTTGCTGTAGGCTGTATTTTAAATAACTGATCTGAATCTTTGAAATATCTGACTGAAATCATTTGGCGAAGTGATATATGGACATGTATTACATATCATATCACTTCGCAAAAATGATTCCTGCCTGGAACTACTTTAGCCGTGCATTTCCCTGAAATTAATTACACACCTTTTTGAACCTTCATCAACCAATCAGATTCAAACATTCAACAGCCCCGTAGTATAAATCAGAAATGAAATGCAAAAAATATTAGATGAAAACTAAAACTGCCGAATTACTGTCAAATTACTAAATCTCAAACTGAAATAAAAAAAATATAAAGCTAAATAGCATTGATAGCCATTAATTTGAGAAAAAACATTTGATTTGAGAATTTTTTTTACAAAAAGCACATACAAATTCAAAAAATGTAGCTAAAATTTAAATGAAATATTTAAATAAATAAATATTATTATAATAAATATTATAATAATAAATACTATAATATATAAATAATACTAAAATAACACTGGCATTTGAATATTGTTTTCAGATGTTAAACCAAAAATTATGCACACAAAAGACAGGCCTAACCCAAACAACATAAACAAAAGGACTATCCCAGAGGGTCCTCTAATAATAAAGCAATGGCTGCTCCCACCTCACATACCCCAAACCTGCCCCATGTCCCTCGATCACCCCGCCCCACCCAACCCACCCAATCCCAACGCCCATCTGTCAGTCTGACAGCCTCAGTGCCACTCCCACCTTGCCCCACCCCCAACCTCCAATTAATCCCTGGAACTGTGGGCTCCAGTGCTCACCCTGATATCCACACATGTTCAGAGGGGAAACATTCTCACAGGACACTCAAAGACCTTACAACAAAAGGCTGCTAATGCTAACGTTAATCCACAGCACAGAGGGGAGAGAGAAAGGGAGAGTGAACGGATAAGAGATTGCGACAGATGAAAGAAAAAGACAGTGGAAGAGACACAGGAAGATGGAGAGGAAAACAGACGCAAGTGTTGGTTATCATGCAGCAAAAAAAGCTTTGTTTTGCTGTTTAATGTGACCTTTTAACACCCACAGTCAAATACTCTCCATTCATAACCAGCTCAATTGGACCCTCTTCGGCCTTTATTTTAACAGTATTCAAAAGGATTTGACTAATTCGGCAATTTAAAGTGATTAGCATTTCATTACCCATAATGCCGTTTTTCTGTTCAGATAAAAATAATTCAAATTCAATTGAATTTAATCACATCAAGTGGCTACATGAGGGGCGCTGTGTGTCTCTATCACTGGCCCCTATCTGAAAGCGAGCGGGTTTTCATCACCGCACGTCTGCGCGACTTCTCTGCGCATGTTTAATCAACCAGCAGGGTTGCCATGGCGATGGAGGTGCGGGCCCTGAGAATGGGCCGGGCCTTTGCAAGCACCATGACCCACTTACAGCGCCGTGTGTCAACACATTCAGCGGCAAACGGGCTGAATGGGAGACACATTCACAAGGATTACAGGGGGGGGAAACAGTCCAGCGCCGAACGCAGCAGGAACGGCAAAGACTACACGACTTTATCCCTGACGGGGCAGCGAGACGGTTCTCCCAAGATACCTTCCCTCAGCAGAAAAGAACCCATTTAGAACCCATTTGTATGTAGCTTATTTGTATCTGGATTTGAAATGCAGCAAATGTGTAGAAAACAGAATTCTCGTAAAATATTCAACCTGTTTCATGTTCCTCTCTCTGTTCTCATGGTCATTTGACCTGTTGGAAACATTAGGGAGAACAATAGTGCATTGAATTCACTTTCTATTATTAGCTATATGATTCAATTTTGAGGACAATTAGTGAAACTTCAGTGTCCCTGGGAGGTTTGACCAGAGTGTGGGAACAATAGGAGTGCCCAGATTAGAGGGTTGCCTCTGGATCACACAAGGTCGTGTATTTGGAGATAAAAAAACAGGAAGGAAACGAGATCGCCAGATAACGTGCATCCCGCAGAGGTATAGAATTCAATCACCATTTCATTTCCATTTCAACATCTCAGTTTAAAACAATGTGGTGCTTTGCAGATCCATCACACCTTAGAGAGAAAGAGAAGTATGTTTACACCACAGGATTAATACTGATGGGATAATTCAAAGATTCGATGCATGCATGAAATATAAATGCACTCAAAGATGCGCAATGCATCTGACAATCATAACTCGATTTGGACATTAATAATGAATCAGGAGTTTGTTACATGCTGAGCTACTAAAGACAGCACAAGAGGCATAACAACATGCAATGATGTGCTCAAAAGTATCTTATATATGTGGGTGTAAGTTAACAAAATACAGGTAACTATTAAAAATCAGCTCATTACATCTGACTAATACTATGCAAGCAAACGTTACCATGAGATTTTGAAATTGCCCAGTTTTTGTCAGTTTCTAATGTCAGAATGTAAACACATGCGCAGAAGACATGGGGGTATTGACTTGGCAGACAAAACACCTGTGAGGTAATGAGCAAAAATGTGTGTGTTAAACCATTTATCTTTATTTGATAGAATAAGAAGCATTTACATGGCTACACGTGTGTGTAAATGACCTCACACTGTATCATTTTGTGAGATTCTATAACACTCGCTTTTATGAACACCTCCTATCAGAACTTTATCAGAGGATTGATGATGTCACACTGTCAGTAGGGACTGCTAAGAGCCCATCTAACAAACTGCCCTCTGTCAACAGCGATGACAGAAATTTGGAGGTAAAAGCTATAAATAAAAGACGAGGAGTGGGATGGTATCTGTGTGTGTTAACGGCCTAATGTCCTCTAATCCAATAATCATGAGAGGTAATGAAATGTCTATTCTCCCATGAGGCCGCTTAGTTCCCCACTTCATCTATTGTGCAGCGATAGGGTCAGCGCACCGGTCAATGCACGTCTGTGAATAAATTCACTGATTATCAGACTTCAGCTTTTCTTTTATGGAGTTAAGAAACAAGTATTTTGCAGTTACTGTAGCATTAGTAAACATTATGTATTAGGTCAAATATCACTGAATTAGGGAAATGTGCATTACATATGCATACATTTCCTTTTATTACTAAATTGTAAGGCATTACTGTAGCTCAAATGGGTCTGTTTCCAATGGAATACATGAATTGATTTTAAAAAAGAAAAGGAAAAAAAGTATAACTTACATGGAAAGTTAGTCACTTTAGCATCTGCCAAATCTATAAACGTAACTGACACAATGTTGAACACCTCAAATGTTTTAATAATAATAATACAAGAAAGAATATTTATGGAACTAAATTGTGCATCAGTCAAAGCTCTTGTGAAGTTCTCATGTAGTCTCGCTTTTTGGAATTTCCCAGATTCCAACAGATCAATTCGGAATTCTCACTCATATGAAAAGATATGAAAAGAAAACCAGGTCAAATGAGACATACAACATATCCCAGACTTATCATGAAGTTCATCTGGTGCACTTTATGGACAATAAGCATTTTCTATATATAAAAACAAAAAAACAAAAAAACATCTAACTATTAAATGCAAAACATATTAAAAAAAGAGAAACAAAATAGATCAGAGTGAACAGGCTTTATGCATTTGTGATTCTCAGATTAAATGACTAGATCTAGCCAATCATGGCATCTATTGGTTCAAGAAATCAAACAAACAATAAATACGAAAATAAAACACCAAATCCCCCCGGCAGGTTGAGCATAAATCAGTGATCCTCCCATATTTCATGTGCTAAATATCACACAAGCTCACTGACAGTCTAAGCACAGCAGACCTGACATGGCTGCTATCATCACACTGCTTTAGAAGGGAGGAGGGGAAAGAAAAAAACCCTGAAATATAAAGAGCCGTCATAGATGGAGCGAGAGGAGGTAGAAATAGTTCAGAAGGCTGGTATTTTGATTATTTTTATTCCCTTTCCTTTAGCTTCTCGCCAAATATTTTCTCTATAGACCACAAAAGAAGAAAAAAAGACAATGATTTCCTCCCGAGCTCGAAATTCAGCCCCTGCAAATGGTGGTATTATAAATAGCAAGCTCCCTCTCACACAAAGCAAACAAATGCTCCTGCACACAAAAGAAGGAGCAAGAAAAGGAATATGAAATGAAAGAGGGGGGAACAATAGCAGAATTTAGACAATTATATAAATGTCCTCTGCATCCAGAAGACGGATCTGTCTCCTGCCTCCTTCAGACAGACTGACAGAAATGCGCGGCAAACAAAGACAGACCCATCAGATGGTCTCCACACACACACACACACACACACACAGGATCCAGCCCCTGCACACACCCCTCTACACAATCACTGTCGTATTCTAAAATCTATCAATACATTTTTTTAAAGGATCATATTTGCTCTGCCACGTTATTTTCATAATTTCAAAGAATAAAAATTCATGCAATGCATCACAGTGCATGAAATACATCATCGGTGAATTAATTATAAAAATATGGCAGAAAACACTTCTCCCAGTACACACAAATTAACCTATTCAGATAATTTTCATAACCTCATTTTATAATCCACAAGATCAAAGACAATGAAAAGCAGTGAGGGATTAGGCACAAAGGTAAACAACACAATCGGAAAGATGGATGGGGAAACAAAGGAGATAAAAGGCATTCCTTTACCCTTCTGGGTCTGTCCCTCATCCAGGTCCTCCTCCATGTTGCCTTGTCCTTTGATTTCGGGGGTTTCTACAGCAGTGACCAGTGTTGCGCCTGTGGGTTTAAAGTCCGCTCCTTAAACGCCTTCCCTTGCCTGCTTACCACAATAGAGGCTGAGGCTGGCTCTGTGCACAAGTCTCTCTCTCTCTCTCTCTCTCTCTCTCTCTCTCTCTCTCTCTCTCTCTCTCTCTCTCTCTCTCTCTCTCTCTCTCTCTCTCTCTCTCTCTCTCTCTCTCTCTCTCTCTCTCTCTCTCCTCCTCCCTCTCACGCTCCTGCTACTACCCTGTTCCTCACAGAGGAGAGCTGCTGTCAACACCGATTTTTTTCAGTTGACTTCTCTTGTGTGTGGAGGTTCAGTGTGGCATCTCAGCGGAGTCTTGTGCAAACCAGTGAGTGTTAAGACATTCAGAGCTCTATATATTCTATTTATGTGTTTATATACGAGGTAACACAAGCTCAAGTGTGGGATACAAAAACAACAAATCAACAAGCACCCAAAACATGGATCAGCACACTATAGGCGGACAGAGAAAGGTGGGTTTTTGGGGAGTCAAGCTGCAAGTAAAAGCCTCCACTTTACACCCCTCCTCTAAAAGAATGGTTAATGCTGGTTACATCACTTCTGTATTAAACTCAAGATAAAAACAAGAAATATTCAATTCATATTCTGTCTGACTATATAAATGTATAATAGATACATACATACATGCGCGCACACACACATATATAGTTCGCTGCTTCTTTGCGCAACATGGATGAAATATAACTGCTTAATGAATATAACATCATATGACATGCACGCTCACGTGATTCTTTATATGTTTGTGTGTGTGCGTGTGTGATGAAACATATTCACAGTGTCATTCAGGTGACAAAAACATATAGGCCAAAGGCATAAAAAGGCAAGAATTTGTGTTTTGTCAAATTTTATGCACATATTTGTTAGAACATGCAATTTAGCATAGACATGTCATTAAAATTGAATTGAAATTTGTATTTCCTTCTCTATACAACCAGAAATTTGTGGATTAATTTGCCATTTAATCAACTGTTGGTGGTTATGTGACAAAAACTGAATTTATAAAATATTAATCACTTTCTAATACAGAAATGCCAGGCAATCGTTATGGATGTTTATCTGCAATCTAGAAATGACTCTATTTGGGTTGCAATAAGTACTTGAGTTTTTACTGGCCCCATTACTTTAAATACTGCCTTATGATCTGCTGACACTTTGAAAGATACATCAACATGTCCTGGCCAAAATGCTGACAGAACAGGCAGTTTTAAGTTCTAAAATTGTGAAGGCCGACTTTCTTATTTAGAATCCAAGAATAGCATTTAGTATTCCACTGGGGTGAAGTTGCTACTGAAAGTGTCTTAGGGGCCGCACACACAGGACACATTCTGTGTGAATAGCCCCCAACTCTACCCCCCATGCATGTCTTCTGACAATAACAATTTTGTCTGATGTGTTGATGCTGCTACGCCATGTTTAACATTCTTGCCCTGAGTGCCTATATATATAGTGATCTATTTCAAGAATAGCATCACTGCACAGGCACAAAACACCAAATGTAGACTTTAATATTTGACACTAAATATAATAGGATACAAGGCTTTCTGTGCTCTATTATCACACAAGGCATTTAAGACGTTTTTTCAACCCTGTTCCTGGAGGCACATTAACAGTACACGTTTTAGAACTCTTTCTAATCAAACACATCTGATTCAACTCATCAGCTCAATGGCGGAGACTCCAAGACATCACATGGATGGATCAGATAAGGGAGACATCCAAAATGTTGCCTTTAGGCATTAATTGTTAAAAAAGCTGTTAAAAATCTTCTTTTGTCAATTCCAAAATCTACTTGTACTTCTAATTTAATGATAGCAAATAAAATATCTAATATACAGTGACGCTATATATTACATTTTATAATTATTATACATACATTACGGTTCAAAAGTTTAAGATTTTTTTGATACAGCAAAAATAGCAATATTGTGAACTATTTCTACAATTGAAAATATCTGTTTTATATTTGTAAATGTAATTTATTCCTGTGATGTCAAAGCTGAATTTTCATCATCATTACTTCTGTCACGAACGCCGGTGAAGATTCCCTTGTCGGCCACCGGAGGTCTCACTCTCCTGAATACTAACGGTAGCTTTGAACTACACTTCCCAAGAACCCACATACAGGGACTGATTACTGCACACCTGATCTTCATAACCAGACTATTTAAACCCTGCTTGTTCATACACACATTGCGAAGTCTTGTTTGCCCCGGCTGCATTTCTGAGCGTTATCCTATCATTGTATCTTCTGTCTGTGTTTTGACCCTACCTTGGATTACCGACTACGACTCTTCTCTGCCTGCCATTGATCTCTGTTTCACTCGGACCTTCACTCCTGTTGTTAGCTGCCAGCCCTGAACCACTGCCTGTTTTGACCACGTTTGATGTCCTGTCTCTTATATTGTTGTTAGCCTTGGTATTTCGACCCACGCCTGTTTGTACACTGAGCCTGCTATATTTAAATAAACTGCACATGGATCCTACTCAGCCTGCGTCTGTGTTACAGAAGACTTCGCCACCTACAGATCCAGCAGTTCTCATGCATCTGACCAGCGAGCTTTCTGCCCAAGCGACTCAACTGGCTGCTCACCATCAACAACTAAGTTGACTCACCACTATGACTGAGGAGTTGGTGAAAGCTGTACAGAGTCTCCATCAACCCGCTCCTACACCCACTGCTCCAGCGCCTCAACCAAGTCAGGTACCGATTGAAATACCTCACAGCACACTATCTGCTAATCCACGTTTAGCCTTTCCAGAGAAGTTTGATGGCGTCCCAACCAAATGTAAAGGCTTCCTTATGCAGTGTTCCATCTTCCTGGCTCAGCAACCTTCATTATACTCAACGGATAACAGTAAGATTTCATTGGTGTGCTCTTTGCTCACGGGAAAGGCACTGGAGTGGGCAACAGCGGTCTGGGACAACCATGGACTTGAGCGCACCACTTACGCTAACTTTATTCAACGTTTACGAGAAGTGTTTGAACATGCTGAAGAAGGAAGGAATCCTGGGGAACAACTACTTGCACTTCGTCAGGGAAGAGATACCGCAGCTGAATTTGCTCTGATGTTTCGCACTCTCGCTGCGCAAACTGTGTGGGTAGACGATACATTAAAACTGTTGTTCCGCCAGGGATTAAACTCTGACTTGCAGTCAGAACTTGCATGTCGTGATGAAGACAGAACCCTGGATCAATTCATTGACCTGGCTATTCGCATTGACAACCTTATTCGCTCTCGGAGATCTAACCGACCTACATGTTCTTTCAGCCAAATGAGTCAACCTAGTGACCACACTGAACCCATGCAAATCGGGCGAACTCATCTTTCCACAGAGGAACGTGAACGCCGCATCAGAAACCACCTTTGCCTATACTGTGGCCAAGCAGGACATCTGAGAGCTGATTGCCCGACTCGACCCCCCCAGACACACAACCGCAGGGTGAGTTTGCTGATTTCTGCCATAAAAACCAATACTTGTATGGAATTACCAGTTAAATTAACCTGTCAGTCTGAAACGATCACCACTCAGGCTTTACTAGACTCTGGGGCAGCAGGCAATTTTATTGATGAAGGTCTAGCCCGACAGTATAAGATACCACTAACCCTTTGCAAATCTCCTTTGGCAGTGGCCGCACTAGATGGGCGCCCCCTGGGGACTGGCCATGTACAGTACACCACCACTGACCTGAATCTACAAGTGGGAGCGCTACACACTGAAACAACACGCCTCTTCGTCATTCACTCTCCACACAACCCAACCATCCTTGGTTTACTCTGGCTGCAGGACCACAATCCACAAATTTCCTGGCGTGAGAAACCGATCATACGTTGGGATCCCAACTGCTACTCCAAATGTCTGAAGCCAACCACCTTGATACCGGTAAAGACTACTTTCACGACTCAAGAGCTCAACACAGCACCACAGGTACCCCCTGAGTATGTTGACTTGATGGAGGTGTTCAGCAAAACTAAAGCCTCACAACTTCCCCCACATCGACCTAGTGACTGTGCCATCGAACTATTATCTGATACCACACCCCCTAGAGGTAAAATCTTTCCACTATCCGAACCTGAAGCTAACACGATGAAATCATACATTGAAGAAGAACTGGCTAAGGGTTTCATTCGACCATCCACTTCACCAGCAGCAGCGGGATTCTTTTTTGTGGGAAAGAAGGATGGGGGTCCCGGTCCCTGCATTGATTATCGTGGTCTTAATGATATAACAGTCAAATTCAGATATCCATTGCCTCTGGTTCCGGCAGCCTTAGAACAACTAAGAACTGCCAAAGTTTACACTAAGCTCGATCTACGCTCCGCCTACAACCTCATACGCATTCGAGAAGGGGACGAATGGAAAACTGCGTTCTCCACCAGCAGCGGGCACTACGAATATCTTGTTATGCCGTTCGGGCTGTCCAATAGTCCATCCGTGTTCCAATCTTTCATCAATGACATATTCAGAGACATGCTAAACCAGTGCCTAATCGTATATATTGATGATATTTTGATCTACTCAGACACCATGGAGGAACACATCAAGCAGGTCCGGGCAGTCTTGCAGCGTCTCATCAACCACCAACTGTATGCCAAGGCAGAAAAGTGTGAGTTCCATCAATCCTCAATTTCCTTCCTTGGTTACATCATCAGTCCTGAAGGTGTCTATGGATGAGGGAAAGGTACGAGCGGTTCTAAATTGGCCTCAACCAACTACAGTAAAGGAACTACAAAGATTCTTGGGATTTGCCAACTTTTACAGAAGATTTATCAGAAATTTCAGCTCAGTCGCCGCTCCGCTCAATGCTATGGTAAAAGGGGGGGAATCACCAAGCTTCGCTGGGCTACTGATGCCATTCAAGTCTTCAATGAACTAAAGAATCGGTTTACCTCTGCTCCCATTCTGCATCATCCTGACCCCAACGTACCTTTCGTGGTGGAGGTTGACGCATCCAACACTGGCATTGGAGCCGTCCTCTCTCAACGCCAAGGTAATCCACCCAAACTCTTTCCATGTGCCTATTACTCCAGAAAACTCTCCTCAGCTGAACAGA